GGGTATAATGCCCGCTTTTTATGGTCTCAGTGGCCGCCTGGATAGACCTCCACCCTGGACGTCTATAAGGCCGTTTTTACTGCGTAAACCCTAGCAGTTAACGCCCAAATTATTTGCTGGGCTGTATCCAGAATTCTGGCAAAAATGGACAACATTCAGAAAAGTTTGCATCAATAACTTTGAATAAAGACCGGACAAATTTTGGGGAAGAGAAGGATAAATTGTGGATAAAAAGTGGTCAGGTTTTGGATGAGAGAGGGACAAGTTCGGGTAAATTTTTGAGTAGAAAAGGACAAGTTTTGAATACCTTTTCAGGAAAAAATGGACAAGTTTTGGATTACTTTTGACTTCTGAGGAAGAAAAGGACAACATTTGGATTAGAGGACATTATTTGGAAAGAAAGGAATACATTTTTCATTACTTTTAAAAGAGAAGGAGATACATTTTGGATCACTTAAAAAAAATCCTTAGACAACTTAATCTGGAGGATAATGGGACAATTTTTCAAGCGGTCGACAGACGGCCTAGCATTCAACACAATTTCCTTTTATATACTGTACATTATTCACATTAATAATGAAGCTTTTTAGGAATCAGGATAATAAAGGCTGATTTTAAAAGGACAGTACAATATATAATTTTATCATAGCACTATACACAGCATCATCTAGAGTTCTAGACATGAAAACCTATGTACAATATATGTATATTTCTAAATAAAATATTTCATTTTGGGATTTCAATAGTTTATTGAAGCACTGGTGTAGTACAGGATGGCTGGGTCACAGAAAGATACCAACATTTTTTCTGAATGGCATCTCATTCACATCATGAACAATAATATTCCGTCGATTAAAAAAAAAACAGCTCGAAGATTTCTTACGCCGTTTGCAGTGTGAAGAATAAATTTCAAAAAGTACACAAGAAAAATGTTTTTCGTGATGATGAGTAACATCCTGCTTTGCATCGAGGTCTTGGCGTGACTATATCACCCAAGAAAAGAGACCGTATGTAGATTCGGGCAACAAACCTTCACCTGAGCAACAGCATTGATTGAAGGTCAACATTGCGAACAAACATGTCCTATGCCTTCCTTTTCAAATACCGACAATGAAGGACAGGTAACACACGCTGTGACCAGCAGCAGCAAGTGTCCGGGTTCCCAGAAACCCAAAGGGGTCATCATGAGGCTCATTTCAGGCGTTCGATAAAAAAAAAAAAAAACTAATGCGTTCCAACATTCCAGGATTCTCAATTTTTTTCGCTGGTTTACTCCTGGAATCGAATAAATAATTAGTTCTGATCTCTTAAACATTTCCCCGACGAAACTTATTGAGCTCTTTTTATTTCATGAAGATCCTTCAATTAGAAAGTCACTAAATTCTGTTTTCCAGTTCTCAAAAAATTTGCTCTGTGGTTTGCAACTGACATCATCAGTTCAGCAAAGTAAAACTCATGATTATCCAATTGTTTTATATAGAAATTTTAGAAGTTTTGGGATTTTGACAGTTTTGAATCGTCTATTGGTGAGGGAAAATATAAGGAGTATCTTCAAAATCTCACTTACGACCACAAATGTCTGTTAAATTCATCATAAAAGGCAATTTTGAAGTTTTGATGCACAGAAAACCACCTGAAGAAATACAATAAAATTGGAAACGGTTTAGATCTGCTTCAAACTCGTGAGAATGTATGCATTTACAAAATTCGACGCTTTATAATTCATAAAATATATTCCGCAAAAAATTGCCACCATCGCAACAAAATTAATATGTCACGTATTATACTGTACAATAAGTCCATTAATCATTGCAAATCCACTTCAACGTTATAATGGCATGTCATTCACAGCAGTTCGTCAGTCGTATGTTCGCTTAGAGCAATTATATGGAAGGCCGCAGTCAGTCGCCTTTTTAGCAGCACCAAATATTCAGAACTACATGCCATCTACGATCTACCAGAATGATTATTTGTCATTTAATCAGTCAAAAAGTAGCTCGGAAATAATTAAAATCTATAGTCCATTTCGAAGATCAGAAAGGGAATTTTAAAATATAAATTACAGTACTATTCGAAGAACGCTCATGTTCAAAGCGGAATTTTGTTTACATGCCAATAATATCCGCCCTTTTTGAAGTTGATTGAAAATCGACTGATGCCAGTTAAATTCTTCTATTTCGCATTTAAAGTTGCTGTCACCATTCAAAATGCCCCGTTTAGTTCAATTTTTAAAATACCCGAAGTTTCAGATTATATTCTGATTTCTTAACGTAAACATCGAGGCATATATACCCTTGTTATCAGCGTCAAATAACTACGACTAAAAACACAGAATTCTCTAATAATTAAGCATCGATTGCATGCATACAAATGCAGGTAAATATACACGATCATTACAAGGACCCGAAAAGGCTTAGTGAGTGGGTCTAAGGAAACGTGTTCCGAGCAAAAGTCTTTTCATGCCAGTTCCCACACTTGTCGATTCCATTGATTTCAGCGCAAAATATGAAAATACTTGCTCATAGGAGGTTCTACAAGCATGAATGTGTCATGTTGAAGAATGACTTTGTCCTGCTTTCTGCTTGCTTCGGCCTATTCATGCGACGAAGCTTTAATTATCCAGATTCATTTGCTACTGTTGGCTTGATGTTTTGAATTAAGTCGGCCGTTGTCAAGGTTGCCGTTTCCAAAATAATTTGGGAGAAATTTGACAATATTAAATGCACTCAATTATATTTGCGCACTTTCCGAGGGTTTCGAAATAAAATGTACGCTTGTATTTCGTAAATTTTACTCGTGATGAAAACTAATCTCACGCTCTTCGTGATTTTATTCCATGCGCTTTATAAAGTACATCCTGAAGTTTGTGATCTTTATTATGTCACAAATTTAGTAAGCAGTCATTTTTTCAGTTAGTGACATGAAGGGGATTTACACACGACCCACACCAAGGCATTACTTCCTGTGTAACATTCACTCGGTGTCGAATTTCCCTTCTGCAGAGTCATTAGCAAGAAATTAGCCGTTGTTCCGCCATTCAAAGGTCCGGTTGACCCAAAGCAGGAATACGTCATGGGATTTTCTATAACAGGAATATAAAAAAATTCCGGATTTATATTATACAGTATCGTACTCAGATTAAAAATTATGTTTCATATTACTGCTAATATCCGTGAAGATCCCGTCGCTTAAAATATCGTCGTAACCGGTGAAAATTTCCGCCTGTGTTGCATTGTTGGTAGAATTGAAAATCAACTCCTTGAATATTTTTTCTCGCTCCGGGGTGTATGAAAATATCCTCTTGCTTCTGTTGTAACAGATATCAAAAGCCGATCTCGCCAATACCCCAGGAATCGCTTCGAAACATCCTGCAAAGATATGTACCATAAAATCGGGTCTCCAGTGGGCTTTTTCCTTTGAAATTTTTCATTCGTGGGTTTTCGAAGTCTATATATACCTGAGCAATAAGGAGCAGGGATGCTTGGATGATTCCAGTAACCGCTTGATAGACAGGTTTCCGTATACCACAACAAATGAGGCACGTTGAAATGTTCTCCTGGAGGACAAGTTATATTGACTGCAGTTCCGGAACGTACCGGAAGTGTCAGAGGTTCAGCTTGAATTGCACCCGAATGAGTCGGTGGCTCTTCGAAACAGATGGAATCTGATGAAAGACGGATAAAATCTAATCTCAGATAAATCGTACATCGCATTTGTATAAGAGAAGAAAAAGTTTGAACATTGTTAAGGCAGAGAATGTGGGGGAAAATGAAGCAAGTGCGACGCAAATTTCCGTTCATCTTCAAGCAAAAATTCCGCGAGTCCAGTTGAAAACCTGACTTTATGGCCAATTTCAATAGCGGTATTTCTTGGCAGCATTTTATTCTAGACAGCTTTTCACTTTCAATGCATATTTCGTGCATATGATGAATAAGCATAAAGTGTATATCATTATGAGCGCTTTCATATGTGATAATCCAAAGCTGGAATGCCTGGAAAATACAATACAGGTGAACCTCGATAAGTTGAACCTCCCCAAGTCAAATTCCTCCCTAAGTCGAATTTTTTTCAAGTCCCTGTCTGAATACCCTTCGTATCAATACATTAAAAACCTCCTTAACTCGAAGTATTTTTTTTATAAAACCTCTGCGTAAGTTGAATTTTCTGAGGCCTTCTGGTCATTATTTTCTTGAAATGTGAAAGATAAAAGGCTTAAAACAAATAATTTGATGCATCTTGAAAGGAATTGAAAGACAAATACAGTACTGTATAGCAAATGAACCCCTGTCTCCTAGTTCAGCAAGGTGTTCCCCAGAATATCCTCATTTATGATTTCCCACTTTTTTTCACTTCTCACAACAAAAGTGTTTGTTTCCTCAACTGGAAACCTCAAAAAATAAAAACCTCCCCGAAAATAAAATCGAAACGTCCCTAAGTTGAATGTTTTTCCTGGTCCCTAGAAATTCGACTTCACATGTAGGAAATGTCAGGATGCAGCATGCACCTCATGTATGCACATTGCATTTTGGACCATCCGTAGATTTTTAGAAAGAAAGATTACTTCTCAGTCAAGGAATAACTCGAAATCATGTAGGGCCGCTTTCATTAATAAAATAGCAGAGCATATCGAGTTATCTATGAGTGAAAATGCTCACAGAACAAGTTTGATGCATTCTGTTTGATTCAAAAATTTCACATCAGTCATTTTTTACGCTTCAACTCACGGGTGAAAGTTGGAAATTCGCAGATGAAGGGCCCAATTGTGTTGCAAGGCGCATGTTTTGTGGAAAACGTGGAAAAATCCCCAAACAAGCATTCACATTTAATCACGGAGGACCTCGCTGACATCAGAAAAAATGGGTCGAAATTTCCTGCAATTTTAAATAACATACATCAGCACTCTTCAATATATGCATCGCGATAAGTTAGCTCATCAAGTAATTATCTTCAACAGTATACTGCCCAATACTGGCCCACGGCCCACGGAGACTTATCTGGCCCACGGAGACTTTTCATCCATGCTCACGGTCCCTTCCTTATAATTTTCAAGTCGGCAGCTGTCATTATTCAAAATACATATTCAAAGATGATCTAAAAAATTCAAAATGTTGCTCCAGTCTTTAAAAATATATGTAATCAAGCATATGATTAAGATTAAATGCATAGCACTGAATTAAATTTGAAACTTTTCATTTAAAAAAGAAAAATTGGTAACCTCAAAAGTATTTTTCATTGTGGCCAGCGCAAGGCCTCTCCACTTCTGCAATGTGGCCCTCTTCCACAAAAATGTACTGATGTGGCCCTTGCTGGCCACGTCTGTGTTGGCTGATCTTTACCGAAAAGCTCAAATTTATACGGATTCACAAGCTCAAGAAGGACCCACAGAAACGTGTGCATCAAAAGGAGCTATGCTCATAAAGCAATCTGAAATTGTTTTTTGTGCTGAAAACGAGGGGAAAAAATATGTAAAAATTGTTCAACAAATTCGAGCTACAATGAAAGAGGGTAAACACAAGGGCCGATTTTTTATCCTGTTTTTCTTATTAGCAATGATATGAAGCAAATAAAAATTCCTGAAAATATTTCACGGGATAATTTATCGTAAAAATGCTTCAGGAAATGACTTACCACGAAAGTCGACGAAGGCTTCAGCGAACCGCGAATAGTTCATTCCCAGGAAAACTGGGGAAACGACGCCAGATAAAACGGAATCATAGAAAATGAACCTTTCCATCGATGGCAAACTGGCAATTGTGGCTCCAAACGCCGCACAACGAGCAGCAGCATTTTCCCCCGGCATTTCGTGATTACTTCCCAAGAAAAATCCGAACATTTTCTTCTCATCTGCATTGAATACCAGCTTCACTTCCTCTGCATCAGATATGAAATTTAATTTTTCTCAAGTTATTTTGTCGAAGAATGATTGGCTGAGAAACTTCAAATATTTTTCGAACTGCTGTATGGAACGATGAAAGAACTTCTGCGCAGTACCTGCTGTCGGAATTCATTCAAGCCAGGTATTTATGTTTCCTTCAAAAAGCTCTTCCAAGATCTTGACATACACTTACACCTATCCTATAAATATATTCAACAATTTCAAAATGGGCGTGGTTGAGCAAACTTGTGAAAAAGCCAGAAGATTAATAGAGCATACATCATCGAAATTATTTCAATGCGGAGAAGGTTCAGATTGTGCGAAAAAAAAATCAAAAGCTATAAAAAGAAATTCATCGAGGAGGCAATTATAGCAACTGTTTTTCAAACCTAAATCTTCCAGACTTGTTCTCTAAACATGAGGGAATTCAATGAATGTGCGACAGAATACACTGTACCTCTTTTGATCTCCGTGATCCAAACCTGAGAACCCAAACTGGCATTCCAAGTGGTTTCATTTGTCAATTGCACAAGTTGACACGCTGAAATATTCTTCAGTTGCTGAGGAATGAAATTGAAACTGTACCTCTTTTGATCTCCGTGATCCAAACCTGAGAACCCAAACTGGCATGCCAAGTGGTTTCATTTGTCAATTGCACAAGTTGACACGCTGAAATATTCTTCAGTTGCTGAGGAATGAAATTGATGACATCGCATGAATCAAGTGCACTGCACAGAGCAGCACATTCGATTCTCGAGGTCGTTTCTTTCCGTTCCATGAAGTGAGGAACGTAAAAGTGATTCTTCAAAATTCGAAAGTAATCCTTCGAGATTTGTTCTGCCTTTGAAAGCTGTGAAATCAACAGGCATCATGAACACAAGGAGCATCACAATAAGCAAAAGGGTTACCTGAGATTCGCTGTGGGCGGAAAAAATAACGATGACAGCCAAAGTAAAGGTCCTCATTATATTCAGCACACCAAAATCCGAATTTTAAAACATGAAAATCTTTCTCTTGAGTGGGTATATTCCAGCAGCAGACCCAAGACAACTATTGGCACCTTACAGGTCCCGTTCTTTGGTCGAGCCCAATATATAGTTAATATAAAAGTCGTCTCTTATATAATTCTGGTGCGCCAGTAAACTTACCGCTTATAATGAAAAAAGAAACTGACTTGAATGCATAATTCCAACTTTGTCCGCAAGTACAAGTCTACGTGATTGCGTAGTATATATACTGCCCATTATTCCCATGTGAATATGAGGGTTTTTTCAATAAGTTGTCAGTATTGTACTTCACTCGAGTCTCATTGTGTGGAAGAATAGGAACAATAATTCTTTCAAAACAATATTCCTTCATTACCAATTAGCTCCCCAAGGATGAAATGAAAAGAAACATGTCTAAGTGCATCAGTACATGTACCGCCAGCAAAGTAAAAATTTACAGCAGCAACTACTAAATTAATAAACCGTTTAAAATCCTTCCATGATTAAACATCTCGGATCAGGCAATGAAGCCAATATGAAAAGTGTTCTAAACTGAGCATTCAATAAATTTTAAATTCTTGACACAGCATTTGGCCTAAAGAGAGTATTTACCAAAAAGTTGACATATCAGGACCGCATTAAAAGAAGTTCTTAGCAATGTCAAAACTTGCGTAATGAGCGAAACCATTTATGTATTGGTTTGGAAAACGCCAATTCTTAAATCGGAAACCAAAATCTCGAAATAAAAATCACCGAATTTTCTGAAGAATCCCGCCAGCACGAGGCTTTTGTAAGAGAAAAGATAAAAGGCTTACCGGAACGATATACAGTCTTGTATAGTTCCTCCAGTAGCGATTAATTGGGTGTTCGATCTGCCAGGTATAATTTATCAACATTACACTAATTGTTCAGTCGTTGAGCATAACGAGCTTCAAACAATTGATCATTTCGAAGAATATTTTCTTGTGAAAAGCACAAGCACCAGCACAAAGCACAAAATTATNACTAAATTAATAAACCGTTTAAAATCCTTCCATGATTAAACATCTCGGATCAGGCAATGAAGCCAATATGAAAAGTGTTCTAAACTGAGCATTCAATAAATTTTAAATTCTTGACACAGCATTTGGCCTAAAGAGAGTATTTACCAAAAAGTTGACATATCAGGACCGCATTAAAAGAAGTTCTTAGCAATGTCAAAACTTGCGTAATGAGCGAAACCATTTATGTATTGGTTTGGAAAACGCCAATTCTTAAATCGGAAACCAAAATCTCGAAATAAAAATCACCGAATTTTCTGAAGAATCCCGCCAGCACGAGGCTTTTGTAAGAGAAAAGATAAAAGGCTTACCGGAACGATATACAGTCTTGTATAGTTCCTCCAGTAGCGATTAATTGGGTGTTCGATCTGCCAGGTATAATTTATCAACATTACACTAATTGTTCAGTCGTTGAGCATAACGAGCTTCAAACAATTGATCATTTCGAAGAATATTTTCTTGTGAAAAGCACAAGCACCAGCACAAAGCACAAAATTATGTCACGAATCTCGATCATGCAATTGAATAAAAATAAACAAGATTCGACTGAATAATTTTCGCATGACTTTTATTTCGGGGAACAGAATTTTTCAGAAACGCAGTTCACTGGAAAACGGATTCCATTTTGCTTGAAGTCAAGGACAAAAAGATTTCATCCCGTCATTCAGCGACTCATCAACGAGGAAGATCAAGACAACGTGCTGCAACCACCAAAATTGTTCATTTTTCACCTGAAACGAAGTTACAGAAGTTTTCAGACATATTGCCGGAATTTCAAGAGTAAGATTCCGCACCACTTACGAAAATATACGATTTTCATTGACATATACGAAGTTAAGAATATCCAGTAGTGCGAAACTATAAAGCGTTGCATAGAATGAAATGGAAGAAAAAAGCATTACATGGAAGAAAGATCGCTTCGAGGAAGAAATTGCGTCAATGATTAAAATGAGTAATCATATAATATTTATTCATTTTTATATTCATAGTAATCATATTATACTTGAAAATATTTATCCAAAGGCCTCTAAAATAACGCCTTTCAATAAAAAAAGTCTCCCAAGTCTTTAAATAGAATCGTACAAGCTATGAGTTTTCTACATGAGTGTAAAAACTCACGTAAATTAGTAAATTTACATGAATAAAATGCTTAAGAGTCGCAGGACTTTCTGCGTCTCATGTGAAGCAGAAAAACCCAGGCAAAAATGCGGTCTTGAGATCACTGGGAATTCCCCTGATCAGGTGATTAACACGGAAGGGCACATTTTTCCTGACAATGGATTCTGCCCCCTTTTTACTGGCAGTCTTTTCTCCGATTCACAGAAGCTCAATTGCAGTGAATTTGGCCGGTTATAAATGTGTTTCCTTTTTTGTCACCTTTCAATTCATCAAAAAAGTGTATGGACAAAGTACTGTTTCATGTCTTTGGTTTAATATTCTTGAGAAATAGAGTTTTGCTTTAATTTTCAACTGAGAAATCCCCTCAAGTGTTCCCTGATTGATTGTTCGTTGATTTTATTTTATTTGTGTTTCCTGAGGTCAGCAAAGCACCACAATATATAGGTATTGAAGCCTCCTCAAAGTTCGAGATTTTTTTAAATCCTCAGACTGGCGGAAGCAGCACATTTTTCCAGAAGTGTCTAGCTTATTATAGGACGTTTCCGGTTTCAAATTGAAATCATCACTTCTGCGCCTAACATGTTTAAAACCATGAAGGATTAAAACTTCAGAATTACGGTTAATCAAAGTAGAATACGTGTACAGCATTATTATTTAAGCCCCTTGGCTATTCCGAGAACTTTCAAAATATTCGAAAATAGAAATTAAATTTTCGCTCAAGTTTTCCGGACAGCTTTTATTTATGATTCATCCATTATTGTGTCGAAATTGGAAGGGGGAAACACATCGGTGATCCTGGAAATCTTTGTAATGATCGAATCATCTAATTCTCAACTACCTTAGAGGGTTCAGAAATTTATCTTAGCATGTTCGATACTCAAAAGATGTACTCACATTTTTGAGTGCATTTAATCATTTAAATGTACTTATTTTACGAATTCTCAGCGTCCTGAAAGACGCAGAGTACACCAACAGAAAAACCCAGGCAAAAATGCGGCCTTGAGATCACTGGGAATTCCCCTGATCAGGTGATTAACACGGAAGGGCACATTTTTCCTGACAATGGATTCTGTCCCCTTTTTACTGGCATTCTTTTATCCGATTCACAGAAGCTCAATTGCAGTGAATTTGGCCGGTTATAAATGTAGGTGTTTCCTTTTTTGTCACCTTTCAATTCATCAATGTATGGACAAAGTACTGTTTCATGTCTTTGATTTAATATTCTTGAGAAATAGAGTTTTGCTTTAATTTTCAACTGAGAAATCCCCTCAAGTGTTCCCTGATTGATTGTTCGTTGATTTTATTTTATTTGTGTTTCCAGAGGTCAGCAAAGCACCACAATATATAGGTATTGAAGCCTCTGCAAAGTTCGAGATTTTTTAAAATCCTCAGACTGGCGGAAGCAGCACATTTTTGCAGAAGTGTCTAGCTTATTAGGACGTTTCCGGTTTCAAATTGAAATCATCACTTCTGCGCCTAACATGTTTAAAACCATGAAGGATTAAAACTTTTGAATTACGGTAAATCAAAGTAGAATACGTGTACAGCATTACATATTATTTAAGCCCCTTGGCTATTCCGAGAACTTTCAAAATATTCGAAAATAGAAATTAAATTTTCGCTCAAGTTTTCCGGACAGCTTTTATTTATGATTCATCCATTATTGTGTCGAAATTGGAAGGGGGAAACACATCGGTGATCCTGGAAATCTTTGTAATGATCGAATCATCTAATTCTCAACTACCTTGACGACAATGTCGAAAAGTTGTTGAAGAAAATATCGAGACTGCCCAGAGCAAGTGGACATCCATATTTAAAGAATAGATCCAGTAACTCTAAAATGAACTTCACCTGTGATTGTGCAAACTAGCAGACGGACCCGTGGAGTGACTGAACCAGCTGCTAACGTTACCAAATACAGGAAGCAAAGTATGCGCAGAACTGCCACGCAAAGGCTTCGGCTTGATGCGTATTTCCCGTTTCACGATAGGCGTGAGCAAGGACAATCGCACTGAAGTCGGGGGCTTCATCTTGGTTCGAACCAGCTTTTCCAAAGCTTCTGCCCCGTAGCCTGGATCCAGGTTGAAGGAATCCTTCAGGTCACTCGACAGATCTTCAGAATCGAAAGCAACGTGTTTCTTCGAAGCCCTGTATATTCATCAAAAAGCAGAAGAGAACCGATTTTAGATCTGCCAAGCTGTTTCCGACAGATGGCAGCGCTTTTCCATAAAACGGCTTCAATTAATGTATGGACCAGAAGTGTGCTTTGAAGATGAAGCTCACAACAATTCCAGAAAAAGTCAAGGAAGACAATGTCTTGAAACCTCCTAATTTTAAATTGTATTAGAAAATAAAGAACCCAAATTTGTATCTTACAAAATGTGATAGAAAAGGTACGAAAATCGCCAATAATGTAGCATCCTAACGAGCAATTTTTCTCGAAGTTCCAGGGAGCACAAATCTGCAGCCTCGTCAAAATTCGATAACATTCAAAAGTTGATTCATCGAGCTTCAACATATGGAGTTTATCTTCTTTTTGAGGTGATAACTTGACAGGCTCAGATGATCAATCATTTTTTGAAAATCCGTCGACTTTTTCTAGACGCAGCGCGAGAAATGATTTTACTGTAATCCATCATTAAAACCCACGAGAAATTTCTATCCATGTAAAATTCAAATTATGATTATATTCAAATAAAAGCTCACTTGGGACTTCCATCCATCGGAGTCAAAGATGGCAACATATAAGCAGGATTCCCTCGATCAAAACTTCCTATGAATTCAGACGAAGCCATTGGACTGCAATGTTTCTGACTGACACAATTCCCGTGCGTATTCAAAGTTTCTGCCAACAAAATTCAAACGTCATGTGTGTCATTAAAATAGACCTTAAGTAATTTTTTTATGGCGTACCGGACACAGGATCGTCAGACAAAACGACTTCAGAAGGTACTCTCTTCACGCGCTTGACATCATGGATGCAAACCTCGTCCATTTGCTGAGCCGAAAGGTCGATCAGGTTGCCTTCATTCAATTCGTCGCACAAATGCTTACTTTGAACAGGTGAATAATTCGTCGGTAGGTTTTGATCGGCCAGACCGAGGTTCGAGGAGACAATTTGAGTGAACGATATACTTGAGTCATCAGCGCTGGAAACCATGTTCTCGTTACGCGATGCACAGCGTGGGGTCATCTGACTACCAGTGAGCGGGGTTATCGACGTTGAATTGACCCTCGCATTCCTCTGAAAAGAAAAGAAAAATTATTTTGCTATAAATCTTAGATTCCCTTTTAGTGCAGTTGAATTCGTTAGGATCAATTTTTAAAAAAAAATAATTAATTTCGCACCTTTTTGATGTGATCCGCGGGAGAACTGAACGATTTGGTTTCTTTTCCATCCACGTTGGATTTCGGGCTAGAACTAAATCGACTCGCGGAACTTGTGCCCACCGATTCACCGGATCTAATTTCTGATGGGGATTCAACGGGGATCGCAGACACCTTCAGTATTTTAATCTTCAGTACACCGTACTCGTCCAATTCGTACTCCAACCCCTCTCGGTCAACATTCATCGGCAAGGTGTAAGCTCGTTGCATGAGTCGCATCAATTTGCCGCCGTCAGGTGTCGCCTCTTCCAAAGTAGCTTCCAGAGTGAGGATGTTGCCTTCGTTTACTTCCACAACTAAGTTTTCCTGAGGGTAACCTTTCAAGTCGATCTGTAAGAGAACGAACAATAATTTAAAAGACATACTCGAGGACACTTTTCGGCAATTTATCCAACTTGAAGACAATAATAATCGCCAGCGCTGTGGATCAAGTCATTCTGAGTTGTCCATGGGTCGCGTTTCATCGGAGGTAAATTATCTGCAGAATGCGTGACCTTGAGGTAAGAGTCTTGGCCATTATAATTGTTGACGGCGACACGAGTGTTGGCAGGAGAAAGCAAATCATCACATTCCTGCAAATTCAAATCGTTTCCAGGCAATTTTTCGGCGGAGTTCATTGTTGGAAGTTCAGGCGTCCGTTCGGCGCGAGTCGCTGGAATATACAGACGGACGCAAATGAAAATATATTTTTCCTTGCGATCGATTAATTATACAGAAGCATCGAAATAAATTATCGACGTCGATTAAAATTGTACAAGAATCTTGTTCTCGACTGCAATTCAAATCATTTTTCCTACATTTTCGACTACAGGTATTTCTGTAATTTTTTACCATTCTGGATAAGGATGGAAAACAAACAGATAATTTTCCTTTTGATTGATTAATCACGAGGTATCGAAATAAATTACGCCCGTCGACTAAAATTTTACGAAGATAACGGAAGATTTATGTCATCGACGGCAATTCAAATAATAATTTTTTTATTTTCGATTATACGATAATTTGAAAGAAAATAAACTTTTACTCTCGAACTTTCGATCTGCGCTGAAAATGAGATATAGTACTGCATCGTATCTTTAAAAGGTGCCCCAAACTGCAAGTTTTCCTCTCGCAGATGCCGCCTAGTCATTCCTACAATAAGCTGAGAACCAGCTTTTGATTTATTCATAATATAGATGACAGTCGTCTAAAAGACAATATTGTACTGTATATAAAAAAAACGTAAGGGAAGGTGTTGACAATCTTTTTCTCCCGTACTATCAGAATACGATGGCATGTGAATTGTAGTACTGTACTGTAATGCATTCGGATGGATAGAGCGCTGTTTCCTGATTTCAAAAAATGTCAGAATCTGAAGAAAAATACCATGCATGCCGTCTGCACTACACCGACAATAACCGGGCGAACTCGGGGAAGGGAGTCCATCAAATTTTTCCGCTTGATTAAGTTCAGCAACAGCTAAATCTCGCCTGATCCTAGAATACGCCTCATCCTTCGATTTCCTCAATTTCTCCATTTCCTGCAAAATATTCATCGAGTATAAGAGGACACGAAGAATTTCGTCAATTTCTCGCTACATACCCGCTCCATTTCAGCATCTATCTGCTTAATCAAATGCTTCACCTTAGATTCGAGTTGCTGTGCTTTGACGAATAGATATTCTCTTCTACCAGCGCCATTGAGGTCCAAGTCGCTCAATGTCGCAATACTGTCACCTTCGGATTTCCAAAGGAAAAGCTTAGAGCCCGAGCAAGAATGATGAATGTCTAGTGCGTTCGGAATCTCGCTTCGAGAATTGTATCCCATCCCTGGATCATCCATCTTGAGATTTCCTCCGTGTTGAAGTCTCGATCATGTATTGTACGAATGCTATAAAGGGTGGGTAATTAACGATAATTGCTCAGTAGTGAACGTAGAAGGGTAATTGCGGAAAATAAATGGGTACAGTATTTTCAATGGCAGCGCATGTATGATCGAATCACCTTCACCGTTTCGAATCGTCTGCTTGCTTCGAAAGTTTTGAAAAAACTTCTATTTCAAGCTTACTCGTTCCCACGGCAGAGTTGCGTTCATAAAAAATACTGCGCGTGCGTAGAAAGTTGATTTCATTCATCTTCCACACACACAAGCACATTACACACACGCACGGAAGCTGATTTACAACAGACGGCGGCACAAAAATTACAAAAAAATATGCTTCAAAAACGACCCCGAGGCCCAAAAACGATGTATATATCGAGCGAAATAGCAATCCAACAATCGATTCTTCACAAAACTCTTGTATTACGAGATACCAGTTGAACGACTTTCAGTCCCCGTAACATCAAATTTCAACGACAAATTTAGGCCTGGAAAACTGGGACAGTTGCAGATGGAAAATTTTGCATTCATTTCAGACAAGTCTACATTGAGACTGCTCGTCTATAGACTTGAAACACATGAATCGACATTGGTCCTCAGCATCAAAGAATAACATTCCTTGCAGCATTTGCTAGGATTCATATGTATTCAACCAAGGCATGGGGAAGTTTGCTGAGGACAAGTATCGTTGAGAGTCAACACGTCAAGCTCCGTTGCTTGAGCGACAGAGAACTACGAAAATGACATACAATACCTTACCGTAACAATGTTCACACTTTATACGGACAGCTGACAGGAGTGGAAAAAAAACTTGCGCAAAATATACTTCACACAAGAGAGCTGTGCGATTCGGGATTCGCATAAAAAAGGGGACGCAAAAATTCTCAACCACCCATGAGCGTTTTTCAATGGTGGTGAAAATGGCTTGGTCTTTATACATTCCGCAGCTTGAAGGAAAGCGGAAAGGTTTTCTTCGGGACATCCTCGATCTCAACGGCGTAGACGGCCACGGCGCGAGGCGCCAACCTGCAATCAAACACGATTGTAACAGTATGAGATTTTTATTCCGTAAAAAATAAAACTGTTCCAGCGTGAACAGCAACACATGGAACGCATTGATTTTTCATTGTGATTAGAATTTTTTTTTATAGCGCGAATACAAAAATAATTACTGCAATGAAATCGCAGACAACCTAAAAAGCAGTGAATGAATGCAGAACGTCGAGAAACTGTCGACAGTTTACGGTAGAAAAAGAGCGAATATTTTTGATACCTCATCACTTCGTCCATACTGCTTAGCAATAGGTTTACTTCAATTTCTACACGATGAAATCGCCTTGCAGAAACAAATTCGATTACCGTTTTGGAAAATGAGTTTCCGAACTTACACATATGCTTTCAACTTATCGTGAGGCGGCAAGAATTACGTAATGATGGTAAACATTTGAGTGAACAATATTCTACAGCCAAAATAGATTTTCTCAAAATCGCACTCGTACGGTAAACGATTGAATCATTGAAGAACGCCTGCGCCACCGATTGTTTCCCCAAAAACGGGAAAAAACCTCAGAACTGTGACTAACCTTTGGTACATTGACGGCTTTTGCAGCTGGATTTCCGCGCCGCGTTCGCCTATGATTGATTTAAAAAAAATGAAATTTTACGACGGAGGATCGTAAGATATTTTAAAATTCATTCGACACTAACCCCGGAGATTTCACCAAAGCTTCTTCGGCTTCTACCTCCTCTTGCTCAGCTTCTTCCTCTTCAACTTCATTTTCTTCTTCTTCTTCTGAGACTTCATTCTGTTTCCGAGATCGAGAAGAGCGAGTTCCTTTCACGGGCTCAGTCTTCATCTTCTTCCCATTCGAAACTCCTTGCTCCACGACGGTTTTCGCTCCACGCTTGATACCTGTTTTCCTATTAAACAGAAGAGAAAATATAAGAATAAAATAACAACATAAACTCGAAATAACTTACGTTTGCTTCGATGCTCCAGGAGCCTTTCCGGCTCTCGTGGTCCTGAGTGGTCTTGACGAATCTTCCGCAGTGTCATCATTTTCAGATTCTTGCGACTCAATTAGAGCTTCATCAGCATCCTCATTTTCGATATCGGACGATGGATGAGTCGGTGAAGCGGAGCCACCCAATTCGTCCAGCATTATTTCCCTCTCTTCCACCCGATATACTGGATCTCGTGCGTACGTTCTACTCATTTACAAGAAAAAAATCATCAGAACTTCTGGAAAGTTCTATAAATTCATCACGTTTACCTTGTGGGACTCGGTCTCGGTAGTGGTTCATCGTCAGATTCATCCGTCTGTGAAAAGCCGATATGTTAGGAAAGTACGAAGAATATAATACTTCTTATCAAATTGCGACCAACAGAGAACATCCGTAGCAACATATAATCGATCGAAGACTTACAGCAGTATCCTTGGAGGAACCACCTCGCGGAAGAACTCTTCGAGACGCCTTCTGTCTGATAGTCGTGGTCTTCTTGACAAGAGGCTGATCATCCTCGGAGTCAAGTGTAGGTTCATCCTGTGAAGGAACAAAAAAACTCGAATTATTCAATCAATAGAATAATAAATTTTTTTTTGAAAATTACCCTCAAAGTTCGCAGAACAGCTTGAGATCCACGAGCACTTCCTAATTTCTCCGATCGGACCCCGGGTTCCAATGCGTCATCTCTTTCGGGTAAAACTTTACCAACGACGGTGGGTTTCCGGAGCGCCATAGCTTGCACTTCCGGTGGAAGATATGACTTTGTCACGTTCGAGTCCAATGGACGCGTGGGTAATCGGAAGTAAATTTCCGGGGTGCGAGGTTCCGTTAAATATTCCTTGGTCTCGTAGTTGCTTGTCTTTGAAACTATTAGACCAAGTGCGAGATCGCTTAACGCCCATAATTTCTGTGGATCAGAAACGTCAGATTCGAAAATTAATTTTAAGTCAACTATCCGAAGATTAATTACAAGTGAAAGAGATTCTGTATATCTTTCGACATATGCTTTCAGAACGTAATCTTTCGAGTGATTCGAATGGATGATTTGGTTGACGTACGTGGTTCGTTTCGTCGTTGGTCGGGTCCAGCGCATCCACTCTGACCTTCATTGCGTCGACTAAATTCTTCAAAAATGTGAAGCAGAAGTTCTCGTTTTTCGCCACCACTGGCTCCAGGATGAACCAAAGACAATTCCGCATTTGCATAAGCTGGTCCACATCATTAGCATCGCTGAAGGACTGCGAATGTGCGAGGACCGGCACACCGAACACAAGAACAAAATCTGGCAACACGTGCGGTAATTGCTCTTTGGCGCGATCACCACCGTGTAAAATCAGTGTTTTGATGTAATCGCGACGCTTCTGAACATTCAGCAACATGTGCTGCTTCGCCATTGAACGCAACGTACGATTCGACTCTAGGCCACACATTGCATAGAATCCCATGAAGTCGAGCGGCAAACAATTGTTAGGAATGCCGGCGGAAAGTCCCTTATGCAGCTTTTGAAGAAAAATTTCCCGCACTTCGAGAACGGGATCCTGAAGAATTTAAGCAACAGGCTGTGAAAGATATTATCATGTCATCATGAAAATTTGAAATTTCTTACGGCAACAAGACGAGAGAGATTATAAAACTGCTCGGCATTGAATTCATCTCCAACCCCTTTCTGCTGGCATATTTTCAACATACAGCAGCCCGCACCCAGCCGCAGCCATGACTTCTCTGCTTCACTGAACGATGGAAAACAGATGTTACCTTAGTTACATTACGATGGAACACAATGCAGAACACACCTAAGTTTGTAGTCCTTGTTTAAATTCAAATCTCCATTGTTGACGATGAATGCGCTCAACATGCGGAATGTCTTTTTCGCCATGATCTTTTCCACTTTCAGCCCAACCAACCACCGGCCAATGAGCTTTAAGCCTTCAAGCTGCAGAAGAAAAACATACAGGGTTGACATATACCTTAGTCTAGGAAATCGTGGTACGGATGTGATACCTTGCATCTAGTTTCTTCGGGAAGTTCTTCCTCGGCACACCAAGGATCTGAGGTTGACAACGGCGGTTTTTTCTGATTCATCAACAATTCTTTAACGACTTTTTTTGAAATGATATTCCTGATAAGCAGCGGGAAACGCTGAGGGGCCAAGAGTGCGACGTGGCCGATGGCAGACAATGCTGTTCTGCAGAACTCATTTTCAATATCCAGACTCTCCCGTATGACCTGCGAAAAAACAATTGATCACGATTCGACGTTAGGATTGGATGAGCCAACAACTGAAAATGTGGATGCACACAAATTCTCGAACCTCAATCGTATTTTCCAGCTGACGGTCAATGACTTCGTCTCCGTCATAATTTGCCAGGATTGCTCGGATGGAATGCTTCGCCACCTTGGCAGTCCCGTGTTTTATATTGATCAAAGAAAACTCGAAGAGGCGGGCAAAAACATCAGGACACACCCGAACTATGCATAGAAAACAACATTAACAAGGAGTACTTCAAAATCAGATGCAGAAATATTATTCACCGATCGGAACGCTTCTCCCCAAAACGGAGAAAATCGAGAGGACCCATGAGTGAACTTCTTCAGTATCCCCGCTGGAAACTGCCTCAATACACTCGAACAGCATTGCAAGAGACGACGGATTCATGAAGTTTTGGGGCTGAGTCGTCGCCAAGAGCTGTTCATGAAAAATTCACGTTGAAAAAAAAAAACATAACGGACCGTTAAAAATATAAAATCCCGAAATACTTACATGCAATAGTTTCAAACCCTTCACACTGCTTATACCAGGATCAACACTCAGATCCTCGATTGAAGATCCAGGTCCTCCACCACGAAGCATCTCCAGAATATACCCAAGCAACACCTGGAATGCCGATCAAAATTCCAAATCTTCATCGTCAAACTTTTCCATTTAAAATTTATTACTGTACCTTAATAGCTTCAGCATCAACCAGAACCGAGGAGGCTCTTTCCAGGAGAAGCTTCACCGTGTTGTAATAAAGATTCGTCATAATCGGCTGTCCTAGCTTCTTCAACGCAGCGTTCTGAAAAATACCGCATATTATGAAGAAAAATCTTTGAGTTATATGCAAAACTTATAAGTGCTCATTTAAGTAAAAAATAAAATATAAGACTCACCACACTGTCCGCGCATTCCTTGCACGTAACGTTAGGATCTGCGATGGTCCGCATATTTTCCAGCAATGCAGAATCGTCAGTCATGTGATGCACAAATCTTATCAAAAACTCCCTATAAAAGCAGTGATGAATCGAAGCAATTTGAAAATGACTTCCGACATAAATATCAATCGTTATCAGGTAATTGATAAATTAATTTATTTTCAAAGTTCGCCAGCATTTGAACTCAACACCCACCTGGCTTTGATTTCGTCCGGAAGACTTTTAGATACTGTGATCACATGCAGACGCAGCTCGTTTTCCCGACGCACTGAATCATCGGATGCAGTATCATAGACTTGTAGTAAGTTGAAAACCAATTTTCGAACGCTAGAAAACAAAGGGAATTTTTACTGGAAACTTAATTCACGCAATATTGTACAATGAACTGCGGTTCTCACTGTGAACGATTCTTCATGATTTCAGCAAACGCCTTTTCAGCTTTTTCATCAACAGTGGCGACCAACGACAGCAACATCTTCATCCGATTTTCGACAGGCATTTGATATGGCACCAACGTCGTATTCAATAGACGTTCGACCACCAATCTAAGAAATAAACTTTTGTAAGAGAAATCATCGCGTCGTAATAAGACTGAATATACCTGTCATCAAGTGATGTCATGTAATATCCGTATAAGATCTTATTCTTAATCCATGAGAGTCTATCATTCCCGTGGGGAATTATTCCACCTTCTTGAACAGTTCTTCGCTTATACACGAATGCGAGTCCAGTCATGGCTTCACGCCTGATCTTGAACTGTAAAACGAATCATTTAGAACGTACGATAAGAAATTCAACACATACGGTACATTACTTACCTTCTTGTCTAAAGTCCTTTCACGAACGAAAGAAAGCAATGCATCACTCTCCGCGACGATTTCGAAGTCACGTCGTGCAGTAGACACAATTGCTGTGACAACTTCATAGCGGACGTTTTCATCCGTGTCGTGCTGTCGAGCTTTGAGTACTTCGATCAGGTCCTCTCTCAGTTCCGGATGATTCATCAGAAAATGCATCGAATACTGTACGCATTTAATGCGAATTGCTGGCTTTATGTCGTTAAACCGCCCAAGAAATGTTTGCCATAATTGGCGATGATCACGTGCCAGGTTTGAATTTTTCTCCGAAAACATTCTTGCCAACAATGAAACGGCGCCCAGTCTGTCCGATTCCACTCCTGATCTCAGTTTATACTCCAGTTGTGGGACTACCGATGCTAGCATCTGCAATAAAGCGCCTGAAGTCGTATGAATCGAAATGTATCTAATTGAGAATTTCTTCCATCACCTCTGGACAGATGGTATTTAGGGCGTAGATTAAATCATACAATCGCTGTGAAATAATGAGTTTCTTCGCATGATCTCCGCTTCTACTGTCCAGGAGCAACTCACGGTTGAAGAACTGTGAACGATTAAATTGAGGAAATTAACAACACAATTAAATTGGAACATCGGGAAGTGACTTACGGCTTGAAGGAAAGGCTGGAGAACATTAGAAGTTTTCATCACAAGCTCTTTGGCAAGCAAAAATGTGTTCCGCGACACTTTGCTTTCTTCAATGATGTTCTTCATCACCGTATTGAGAAGCTCATCAGAAATTTGATCAGATTCCATAATAAGCGGCAGCATCACTTCAAGCATGTAGTTCCGAACTTTATGGGAATGCTCGTCACTGAAGGAACAACATAAAATGTAACAGGTCTAGCAAATCTTGAAACTATATAATTTTTACTTGATTATGGAGAAGAACGTTCGGAACAATTCGCAGAAAACCTGCTGACTGTCGTCGGGCAATTCAAAGCACATATTGAACGATTTCACGAAGGCCAAGTTTTCCAACAGATAGAAGTATCGCTTGAACGCGGGATCCTTTGGATCCCGGAGGCCGTGCAGTTGTCTTATCAGAAAGTAGAAGACACTCTGGAAAGGCAGAATAGAAGTTTGAATGGAGTGATAACCCTACAGACTACACAACAAATACTTTTATCTCCTCGTGATCAATGTACGGAGCCTCTGGAGCAAAGATTCTCAGGATATCCGCGATGCAGCAGGCCACCAGGAGCTGAGCATCCTTTGAGCTATGCTTCAGGAAAAAATCTTCTGCGAGGTGGTGGGCCAACGGTATGAGTTCTTTATACTTACCCTCATCTTGACTGAGGGTTTGAAAAGTCTGCGCTAAGGCCTAATAAACAGAAACGCATGACAACAAAATCCACCAATACCTCGAGGATAATCGAAGCTCACCTTCAGCCTTCGAATCAATTCATCCTGTCCAAGCCCCTCGTGGACCTCACGACAGTTAGAAGGATAAACTATTTTCATTCTGGATCACTTTCATCGGCACTCAAGACAGACACCCGATCCTAGAAGAACAACGTTCCCTAAGATGTTGTGGAACACGTTTGCCGCTAAAGCTCCGCTAATATACAAATATCTCAACTAAAAAATTAATGTGAATTTATAGCTGAAACATCGATCAAGATCCTCACACAAACCAGACCCTTCTCCACTTCATACACATGCATCCAAAAGCCCGCGGAACTCAACGCGCATACATAACAAACGCCGCAGAGCACCCTCCGTCAAGCTGAATTCGTGGTGGCGACCCCTTCAACTCAACGCTAACAACTTAGGAACGACCAACCGAAACTTCGAACACGGGGACATCGACTGGGTTGAAATGGCGGCCAGGCACAAGAGATGACTCTGCCATCGATGTTCGTTCAACTCACCCTGAACAACGCATACGTCTCCCGACAAAAATCATGATACAGTACAGTACTGTAGATTCTGGATCGTGTCCAGTACAGTAATTTCCCTCCTAATAATAAAGTTTATGTCCAATAGCAGTATGAATGCAGGTGTGAACTATCCAACAAGGACTTTAACGAACTTAATTGATAATACACCAGATTCAATTACGGGTAGACTCAATAGATCAGTCTTGTTTATAACAAATTTATTGTAAATCTTTTTTTTAGGTCTTCATAGAGGTCTCCAGCAATATTATAGGGATTCTCAGCAAAATAATGATTCCTGGTCCCATGAATTTTGTTTTAGAGTTCACCTGCAATCAGTTTGCGTATCCTTGAAGAGCATATCAACCAAGCTCAATTTGTACCTGCTATAATGCATATATTTCAAATTTTGTTTCCTTGATAAATATTTTCATTGGATCAAGTTCACCTTGGGTTATGCGCACAACCCACCCATTATTGGTGTTCTTAAAATTATGAGTTAATCCATGAAGCGCTGGAATCTGAATACAATGCCTACAAACTCACCTATGAAGCTGACTTTGATCGACAAGAAAAATTCAAAGGCTACTGAAACTTAGAACATCCTCCATCCTTCAAGGAGGAAGAAATCAAAATAAACGAACATATATATGCTGTGAATCATTTACTCCCATTTGCAGCATAAATATAATCCACAGGTGATAGTGCGTGCGCGATAATCAACAATATGCCTCTGATAACGCTGTGAACTACGGAACGAATTATTCAGCAATGCACTTCCAAGTTCCCGCACGCCAATAATCTCACGCGCGTCAACAAACATTCTGGTAAATCTTCAGCGATTTAGAAAAATTACACGCACTGGCTCGGTTACTCTAAAGCACGTTGTTTTCCAATGGAGATTGATCCGAAAACGCAACCAAAAAAAGACGAAGAACTCGTTTGTTCAATGAAAAGTGGAATGCAATTGATTTGTTATTATCAGCCATTATCCTCAAGTATCACAACTCATCTTTGTCAATATTTTGAGAACCTTCTCTTTCTTCCTGAGACAAGAAAACTGAAGAATGCTCTTCAATGAAACTCTTAAATTTTTCGAAAGTTCTCTCAGTACCTGGATATAAAATAGGTGCATCTCTTTTGCCAGCTGGAACAAAATAAATCATGGGAAACCCTTCAACTTTGAAACCAGGAGGCACATCATTTTGAGTTGCGTCAAATTTAGCAATGACAAGGTTTTTATTAGACAGCTTTTCAGCAACTTGTCTATATATCGGCTCCAACTTCTTACAATGTCCGCACCACGGGGCATAAAATTCAATTAAATAATCACGATTTGAGCTCATTGCTTTCTGAAAAGTGCTTCCCACAAGTATTTCAACAGCCCCGTCATTCTTCTTCGGTGCGGCTTGAGATCTGCGGATAAAAAATAATTTGTCTTCGTCAGAAGGATTAACATTAGGGATTACATTTGAAAAGGTTTACCTGATAAAAGACTTCACTTCACCAGCCAAGAAGTTCTTCACAAATTTGTGCAGATCTTCTTTACCCAAATTGTCCGCGGGTTCCATAGGATACTTGGCTCCATTAGATCCCCAAATGGCAACGTTCACGTCTTCCCCACTGTCATCCAATCCCAACAGTTTCAATTCTTCAGCAAAGGTGGATTCGCTTGAAATTGCGAACTGAATATCCGGGTAATCCTTTGCAACTGCTGAGATCATCCTTCGAACACGCTCCGTATCGGAAACGAATTCGACAGAGTAATTGACGTCATAGTAAGCCACTAAAATCGGACGTTTCTGAAATTCTTGCGCAGAATTTTGCTTTGTTCGGATGCCAACAAGGGGCGTAGCGTGAGCTTTGATGGAAGACATAATATCATTTGCAGATGCCGATTTTGAATCTATCACATAATGCTGAGTTTCATGTTCTGTAGTAAGGAGATCTGGCTTGATGATCACAATAGAGTTGATTGAACCGCGGATAAATCTTGCAACTTCCGGGTCCGAGGTATGGAAAAATTTGAATTCTAAATCTTCTCCTTTCGCTATATAACTGGCAGAAATGAATTCATTCCTTAAACTGGCTCCATCTTGGTCGAAAACTCCAACAACAGCTGCAGTTAGCCTGGGCAAGCTGTTCTTCAGCTGTTTCGCAGATTTAACCTCCACAGAGGGAATCGTCTTCATTTCTCTCATGTATTTTATGATCCCTTTCGCATCCCGAGTTCCTCGGTATTCGAAGACCCTTCCTGATCTGAAGTTACACAGAAATCGTATAGACAAAGAAAAGCACCAAATGTATTTAAAAGTAATATTACCGTAAAACGAACAAAGTGGGCCATCCTCGGACACCGTATTCGTCAGACAATGCTTTTTCTAAAATCCCATCTATTTTGGCGATTGCAATTCCATCATTTCTCAATTCCTTTGCAGCTTGCTCCAGCTCTGGGACCAACTTCTTGCAATGTGTACACGCTGGATCATAGAACTCTATCAGAGCAAGCTTCTCTTTTTTGACGAATGACGAGAAATTTGAGCTTGTTAAGGACACGACATTTGATGGTGGTGGTTTCCAATTCGGGTCCGCCTAAAATAAAAATAATACGTATTTTAGTTTCAGAATACCTTTAACTGTTTTTTTCAATACAAGATACTGTAACTCAATCTTGTGAGTGATATGAGACACGGAAATTAGGATTTGTGAAGGATTCTAAGAATTCAGGACTTGTCAAAGCATCCCTTGGATGAGGCACATAGGTTTCTTAGTTTTAATGTTGGTATTTTTCGTTCGACTTTCATAGCATCCCACAAAGCGAAATATTGTACTGCGAAAATATTTTCTGAGAAGTGCTAAATCATCATTCAGAATGTTACGATTCATTGCAATATTTAGAGCTATCAAAGATTTTTTCCAAGAAATTCACCCACTTTCTCTCTCATGTACTCAGCAATGGAATGTGCATTCCTCGGCCCTTGATATTCTTCAACTTTGACCCCATTCAAAAACAACATCAGCGTTGGAAATCCGGTAACGCCGTAACTTTTCGAAAGCTCTTCTTCTTGAGTAGCATCAACTTTTGCCAACTTAATCCCGTCATCCTTCAGTAATTCTGCTGCTTTTGCGTATTCCGGCTCCAAAGATTTGCAATGTCCACACCACGGCGCATAGAATTCAACTAGGATAATCCGATTAGTGTTGATAATGTGCAAAAATATGCTTTTATCAAGTATAAGCACGTCATGCTGATCAATAGGGATCGTGATGCTGCCATGACCTTCCACAACCGGAATATCGTCAACGTTTATATCTGGCTCCACAATATTAGAAAACAACGTTTCTTCATTCCCATGTATACACAGACAAAATAGCACAAGAACACAGAGAACCGAACGCATATTCAGCAACTCACACAGGGCACTCGACGCCTATTAAAAAAAACATACAAAATTTTATTGAATGAAAAACATGAAGAGCCAAAAACTTCAACAGACACTTGTTGCGAAGTTCACCAAGAGAGGCAGTATTCTTACAAGATGAATGTGAACTAATGCGTGGATTTCCACTGACTTCATGCGTTGCCCTGCATATTCAAGGGCGTGACAACTTGGGCACCCAGGTGAAACGGAACCACTCCCTCCTTTAAACCACGCACAGTATTTCAAATGAGTAGCTCCCATCGTGAAAGTCATGTTTCCTTGCTAACCAAAAAGATTTCTCGCGGGAATAGAACCGACATAAATGAAATGACCAACCATGTGCAGTATTCCTTCGCTCAAACAGGAAAATGACTGGAAAAAAGAAACGAAAAAAATCTAGAAGAAATTGCTATCGTGAAATGTCTATGCTTTTTCAATAGCCTAGAATACCAAGATACAAGGGTAGAAATAATTACGAAACGGTAAACAGAATTTACATGAAATTTGGAAGAAAATGAAGCTAATTTTACAGTACATAAAACAGACGCTTCTACAGAAAACTCTTTATGAAACGTCCAAAAGGACCATACACATCCAAATTGTTTTCTCATTGCTCAGACAGTTCATGCATCAAGGAATATGAACGATCCTGATTGGTACCATTCTGAGCACTCGCTACTTCAGCGACTACGACAATATTTTTCACACTTCCTGAATTCAATCGATCAAAATCAACCAGCATAAAAACTGCGTACGCAAGAAGTGTTCAAATTTCTTCATTTTGTGCGAAAACAATGTACAACAATGAGTCAAAATGCGGGGACAATTTTTGGAAATATTGTCAGATTAAGAAGTTAACTGTTCCGACAAGAATGCCGATCCATAGCTGTTGTTCGAGTGTTGTAATCACATTTTTCGCGGAAGCAACACTAGTTCTGCAAAAAAGAAAACATAGTTCAATTTGAACACGTTCATTCAAAACATATCGCAGAAACAAAATAAAAATGAACAGAAAAATTCGGGATTGAGGTTTTCAGAAAAAAATGCATTACAACGGCTAGAACGATCGACAATAAAAACTGGTGAATTAATTTAAACGCATCATCCGCTTAATCATAAGACGTTCGTCAGGAAAGCAAGAAAAAATACCGTAATACTTGATACAATCTTCAACTCATTCTATAAAATTCAAATGGGGAACCAATCACGTCTGTATTTTTCAACAATGTTCAGAACACTTAATAACAGAAGTAAACGTTAAGTCTGCTTCAGCTTGGTTATCAAGATCTATCAACATAACTGACAAGCATCGTTTTCCAAGAGAAAGGAAGTTTAATATACGCATGTCTCACGGGAGAAGGAATGACAACGCAATGCGTACCGATTACGTATTTTTCCATGTGCATTTAACTAATAGGTCAGAACAGGAATTACTCTTGCTTGCTTTCTATAACACCCAAGAAAATTTCGTCCCTCCAAACCAACGCATGATTCATAGACTTACAGTCGTATCCATGCAAAAACAAATAAATAAATCATGCACACGGATAAAGAAGATCATAATGTCCTGGGCGGAACAATAGGGAAACCACAGGATTCCTCTTCGCCGGCTCGGATCCGGTTCCGTGGATGTCCATTGGAAGAAAGTCATGAGTTGACACTGAGTCTTGCTCCCTATCAAGGTATTCTACTCTAATGGGAACATCCGTCGCGTTCGCCAGGGCAGTCACGTGAATATGATCACAATCCTTAAACATTGGCTCGACCTCCTGCAAAACACGAAAAATCAATCAAAATCGCATTTCATATCGTCGTAACACAACACGGAAAATAAGGTCATTGGTTCAAAATTTCCGCCTATCTTCCCAAAATTAGCAATTTATTGCCATGTCTAGCCACCTAGATTGGGATACATTCAACGAGTTTGCATTATAACTGCCCTGCCTACAACAACCATTAACATGTGAGCAGACTTTCACGGACATGATCCCAGCGAATTAAAATTTTAAAATCAACGGAACAGCTTTAATTAATGTGGATCTAATACTAATTCACTTGTCAGTCGAGAAAGTGATATACAGTATCTCGATGTTTTTTTTATGCTGCTGCTGTCAAATGTAAAGCTATCACAAAGCATCTACTGCAAAAACAAGACGTTATCAACGATAATGAGAAATTCGAGAACTTCATCCAAAGAAAAGAAAACTAAAATTAATATTTAAATTGGTAATACATTGGTTTCGAAGATTTTATGCAAAACTTCGCAAAAAATAGTCTTAAACGGCCTCTACTTTCAGATTTTTTCGAAATGTGCGATTTACACGATGAAAATAGAATTCGCGAAGATCCCTCGTCAAGTTGACCCCATACGGGGTTTGGGCATAAAAATGTAAAACAACACTACATCTTTCAGGAAAAGGAGGCAAAACTATTGAACCCAACCATCATATCTGACATTTTTAATCCAACGTTCAAGTACTAAAAAATTGGATATAGAACGTCTAGCTCACCCTTTGACAGAATTCTTTGATTGACTGATCGATCAAAAAAGGTTCATAGAATGTCGCTTCTTTCTGTAAGTGGCCAGATATAACCATCCTCAAATAGCTAACCAAATAGTCCGAAGTAGCTTGGTCGTTGAATCTCTTGCTCAAATCATCTAATGAAATCTTCGCATCCATGCTTTCGAATACACCAGCGACCTGTAAGAATTGGAAAATTGCAATTTTGAAATGATTCAAAATGCTTTCACCATTGAAGATATAGAACCAACGTTATCATAAGTGTCGTCAACTGCAAAACCGGGTAGCCCCTGGGCAACAAGGTCAGTTTTTGAATTCAGCGCAAATTTCTTGAACCTAAAAAATTCGGGAATCAGTACTTTACAAAATCCCACATCTTCCATGTCATAACACATGCGATTTACTTTTCAAATTCTTCTTGGTGAGTCAAGCAATATTCAAAGTATCCGAAGGCGAAAGAGCGAAGAAAGCAGTTTCCGTCGCGACGTATCGACCGCATGCCCTTGTATCGATCTTCCAGCTGATTCAGCTTCGTGACGAAGGGTGAATCCGGCGGGTACTCCGACCGAACGTCATCAAATCCGACTAAAGGTCCAACCAGCGGATGCTGGTCTGCAATCTTCAACAAGCAGAGAAAAAATGAACACAAAATTGACACGATACAACATTTCCATGCTCAGCAATTACGGAGAAAAACCAAAGGTACCTCAGCGTCAATCTTTCGCTGCTGTTCGAGTATGAGCGTTTCTTGATCAAGGGAGCTGTCAGGGACTTGCACTGCGAAGAATTCTGCATCAAGCTTCCAATAGAGTAAGAGATCACAATAAAAGAAATAACTCACCTGCTTCAGCCTCTGAGTTCGAGGGATCCTCAATATGCCCTTCCATCATATCTTCACCGTATAAAAAAATATCACGCTCCAAGAAGAACCTTTCAAAATTTAACCCGAACTCTGAAAGAAAAAACACGAACGTTACCATAAAAGTGCACCATAATCCCCAAACAAAAAGTAGCGTTCACGGATTGGAAAAATGTGAAAATATTTAAAACAATTGGATGACCAACGGGGGCATCACAGCTGCATCACGAATCACGTTCATCTTCATCAAGAATGACAAAGTCCTCCGAATTGAGATGCACCATATTTCCAGAGGACTCATCACGCGCATCTTCTGTCATCTGCTCTTCGTCATCCTCCACGTACTCAGTTTCCATAACACGCACCCGTAACTTGTCCTTAAAAAGGATAGCGACGACTTTTCGTGTGCCACTGATGGCCAACGATCCGCCTGCACGGATGTCATCAAGATTTTGGACGACACTTTCCCGAAATCGGAACAGGACACAAGGAAAGGAATCGAATTCGATGGGGCTGAACTCTGATACGATGTCTTTCCAGGGTAACTGTAATTTTAAAAATAGGATCATGCGACTTTCAAATACTACATTATACAACACCCTTCAGACATTTCGAGTTTTGAGAGGCTTCTCATAAGTTATAGGACTTGGCAATTTCTTGGAAAAAATGCGATGCCTTTTCTGCCGATTCCGGAGATTTTTTCAATCTAATCCTACTCATATTTTTCGACTATGAAATTTGATGAAAAAAACGGAAATTAAATTTCTCACTCGACGACGGAGCAGCGACGTGGCTAGGAAATGTTCATATAAAATCAATACAACAAACTACGGTAAACACTAAAGAAAGGAGTTATGAAAACCAGCCTGAATTACACGTGTTACGCTTCCGAACAAAATAGTCTTGAAACGGTTCATCTTCTCGCGCAATGAATCCGTCATCAAAGAATATTTACCATCAAGGAGCACACGTGGCAAATGACAAATTAATCGTATTCTGGCGCTGATTTTAGAATAAGCTCCTTCAACACGCGTAATTTTTATTTCCAGTCAAAAGAGAAGATTATCTAAAATGTTTTCAAAACTTTCGTGAGCTTACTTGAGGATTGACAGTGCAGCTTCCGAAATTTGAGGTAGTTCTTCATGAAATTTGTAAGAAATAACTTCTTCGACTTAAAGAGAGCAAAAAATTGAAACTTGACAGTTTTTTTGTTAAAAATAACCAGTTCTTGAATTATGATATTTAGCCAATATTGAATACTTCAAACATACTTGACGGTTTCCATAATCACCTCAAAAGGGATTTTAAAAAATTACCAACCTGCAAAAGCTTAGCCGGCGCTTGATCGTAGATTAAAAAGCTTGTCACTGCAGGAGAATAAAAATCGGCATCATCAATGACGGCTGGACACGATGATTCACCAGCTGCCATCAACTGACACCTGACCCCAACCCACTGGCCGTTTTTCAGGCTACAGAACGCAACTTCCTGTTGGGATTTCGTAATAGATTTAAACAAAATACATCCGTCATGGAAGCGAACGCACGGCGAAAACCCGAACTTGAGCTCCGCGGGTTCACCGAAAGTAGGGATATCTCCGAAAGACTGTCGGAATTCCACGAGTTCTTGCAAATTTTCTGCACAGATTCGTAAGGCTGTTGTAAGAGATACTCGGGCATCCGTTACTGTCAAATCGTCTTCTACTTCTGCTCCATATTCTTCCTTCATGGAATCGACAAATTCGGCCCACGACATGAGACCTTCCTCGTCGCGATTGTCGACCGGAAAAACAAGAGGGGTATCTTTGATGTACTGTGTGACCTGCTCCAACATTTTCAATTTCCCTTGGCGATGAGAACTTGCAGGATGACGGAAGTGAGGAGCCAGCAGTTGTTCAACAAAATCCATCGCGCACTGAGTTTCCTCCGGAGTAGTTTCGTTACCGTCCGGAAGGGAGTCACATCTTGAGAACCAATAATGGAAAAATGAAAGCGTCATATGGAAAAATCAGATTAGTGGGGAAACAAGAAGAACTCACGGTTTGAATTTGAGAAACGATTCGAAAAGTTTCAGCAGTACTTGTTGAAATTCGTTGATTTTCAGCACTAACTGCTCGACGGACTTCACAGTTTTTAGGGCGTTCTCTTTAGAAAATCCTAGATAATCGTAGGTCTCTTCACAACGGGCGAGTCCAAGCAACCTATCAGCATGATCGTACAATGCTTCTGCGGCAGTAAGCATGTATTCAGTGAGCAAACTCTGTATATTGGTATAACCTCGTTCTAGCGAAGTTCTGAGCTTTCTCAGACCACGCACTGAGATCCCATGTACGAAGTCCTTTTCCAACGCATCCGAAAGACAACCAAACGCTTTGTATTCAGCAAACTGGGCGAGCAAATCGTACCGAGAATCTTCATCCGTCTCGCAGTCTAAATCCAGACTTTGCCTAATGCTATCAAATTTCGACTCGAACTCGCCCGACATGAGCTCGACAGCCTCCCGAATACCTTGCATGCATCGATTCAGATACTGTATCAGCGTTCCCATCTGCGCGCAAATCTTTGCGAAAAAGATCACATCTTCACGTTCTCTTCGGACGAACGACGTCTTGAAAGTTCGCAAATGGGTATTGAAGGAATCTGCTTCTCTAAGAACGACCAGCAATTTGTCAAAATTATCGGTTATCGCTGCTCCTAGTACGGTGGGGTTTTTGGAAAGTTCCAAATCTTCAAGGGAAACGGCAGCGAAGAGGAATATTCCATAAGCATACAGAAGAACGCGTGATGATGATAAGCAGACAACGAGAATGTTGAGGGACTCGGAATCAAGCATTCGTTTCCGAGTTCCGTCACGTTCTTCCCAGACGCCTTTCGCCATTCCAAAGCACTTGGACAGCGATGGGAGCTCAGGAAAAATATCCTCTGAATTATCCTGAGAAATGTTCCAACTTGTATTTGGGGAAAACTTCCAGAGATGCAAATCAATTTACTTACGAAACTCGGAGGAAAAACCGTGTGCTTCTGTCGAGCTCTTGAATCAAAATCTTCTTGGACAAAGGTTTCGCTGGACCAATGAAGGAACGTTACTTCAGAACTCACATGAAGGTAATGAACCGTGTCTCCATGCTCGATTTCTCGCAACATGATATCTCCTACAGAAAAATTCGTCACATTTGTATTTCCGTGAACCTACCGTAGTTGGATTCAGCAGTTACAAAATCGGTGCCACGTCAGTTACGCACCCAGCTATTCGCCGAATATGTTAAGATACTGTACCGGCTATAGAGATATTAAACTGCAAGTCTTAAATTTCCCTGATCATTTCAATGCATGCATATCACGCTCATGAACAGGCCAGACGAACAGGGAAGAGATGAAGGAAAAGTAAAAATGCATGAACCTATTTGCGAAGAATTTGATAATTTTGAGCAAGAAATGAAGAGTACGGTATTCACTTTAGTATCACGCGCCCGTGAGTAAGACACGCCCCATTCTCAGTGACTGAAAAACTACAATACTTCAAGAACAAGAAAAGACACCAGAATTTAAATCATAAATTCAACCTGATATCTAATTACTTTCCAGTGTTTCCATTAAAAAAAATCGAATTCTGGCCAATAATTTCCCATCGTATTCAGGTGTGATGTGCACCTAAACTTTCAACAGACAAAATTGTATTCTTGGAATTTTTATGCGCACCATTTTTTTCTATTTTCAGAGAACATGTGCGTTTGTTACTCACGTAAATACGGTACTTTCGGTCGGACCCATACATGATAACAGTAAGGTTTTGGAATTAATTATTCACCTGCTTTGCGTTATATTTCGAGCTGCTTGATAAAAGTTCGGAGGATTATTAAATATTCTTACAACAAAATTTAAACTGAGGAACAAGGCATTCATTCAAAGACTGAATCCTGTTAAAACCGACCCATACAAAAATACGTCGCACTATATTTTCAACGAAAATTCTACCTGATTTGTAACCAAATGCAATAAGCCGGCCGTCCGGGCGCCATACGATAGCTGTCACAAGCGCAGAAATATCCGGTGGGGCACGACCCCAAATTTTCACCCAGTTCAACCGATAAAGAAGCGCTTCACCTAGGAATAATGTATCAAATCAATACCTAAAACTGTTGCCTGTACTGTAATTCGGACATACCTGTTTTACTAGCTACTGCAATAAGGTCCATTTTCGGGGACCATTCCAGCAACGTCAACGGGATTCCCACGGGTTTTTCTTCCACGTAACGTAAATTGCAGTTTACTGGAACATCATAAACTTCCCTCACTCGATAACTACTATTTTCAGCTCTCACACGGCGCGAATTTTCGGGAAATGGTTCTTCGATCTCCATCTCTCATGAAACCTGCACAAACTCACGAAATTGCATTGACAGGAACCGAGGCGTCAACGAAAAAAGACCATCAACAAAGTAAAGTACTCCCTGAATTTCCAACTATTATATTGCGTTAAAAATGATTTACACATTCTACTTTTTCTCCTGAACACCAACTCAGAAATCCGATCACATCCAGTCCAGTCCGACTGGTCTTCAGTCACATCCGGAGACTGTTTTACAACTTCTTTGGAATGTTCCCAATGTTCTTTGTACGCATCCATTTTGTTTCATAGTTTGCTTTCCATGATAATCGTACATCAAACTTTGGAGACGTAAAATGTATCTAATGCTACAAAATTTATATAAGAGGTGCAAATTCTCACAAATGCGCGAACACGTAAATTTCAAATGACACAATTTTATCTTTGGACGGATATCAGTCAGGAAACAGGAACACATCAGTCCATTACTGGTGTAATTTTGCGAAACCTTGAGATCATCCGTTAGCTACAAATTCTAATGATCTTAAATGCCGTCAGGTTTGCATATTATACCGACGCAAATGAGGAAGAGCATTGAAGATATCATCTTTCGACAATACTTCAGGCCCAACTGAATTTTCCGTCATTAGTTGGTACATACTCCCAGTTCCGCGGTCAGAGTCTTCACCAAACTGAGGCAATTTATCAACACCACACGGTAAAGGATCATGCCTGAGAAAACAATTGAATTCAATCAGTGGTTCAAATTTATTTGAATATCCGCTCACTTGAAATAATCGTGCTGGAGTGCACCGGTGGCACGAATTCGAGACGTCGAGTCGTATGAGAGGAATTTTTTCAATAAATCTATTGCCTCTTCCTCGGCATCGGGACAAATATCCTCAAAATCTATCCCTTTTGCAGGAGGAAAGGAAATTTTATTGTAATCCGGCAGTGCCGTGAGGCCAGGCCAATTTTTTTCACTCGGGGTCCCCAACGTATACAGTACTAATCTAAGCTGATCAATATCGTTTTCGCCTGGGAACAAAGGAGATCGGTTCAACAGTTCTCCGAACACACAACCCACGGCCCAGAGATCTACACCATGATCGTATTGCTTGGATCCATAGAGCAGTTCAGGAGCCCTGTACCATCGAGTAGCCACTTGATGGGACATGGGGCGACTATTGTCTTCATGATCGCGTGCTAAGCGACATAAGCCTAAATCAGCTATCTTCAGTTTTCCATCTCGTGCAATTAGAAGGTTCGCTGGTTTTATATCCCTTTGAAAATAGACAAAATCCAGTTTTTCAAACGGGAGTAATCTTTCGAAACTTACCTATGGAGCAGTCCAAGTCCATGACAATAGGCGACCCCCTTCAACAACATTTCGGCGTAGGCTTTGACATGATCCACTCTCAAAGCTATATTTGATTCTCGAATAAGCTTGCCCAAGTCGTACGGTAGATACTCAAACACCAGAACAAACGCCAAGCCTTGGGGAAAGGCGTCAAGGAGACGTACGACATGCTCGTTGTCCAGGAACTGTAAAGCCTTGATTTCACGGAGCAGATTCACAGGTATTCCATCTTCCAGCTTTCGTATGGGTAATTTTTTGACTGCCACCACCTCACTTGTCGAGTTATGTTTCGCTTTGAGCACAAGCCCATGAGCTCCTTCGCCGATCCGACCAAGAATTTTGTAATCCTCCATTTTGATTCTCAGATATAACCAAGGTTTAGAGATGAGTCACTTGCTTCGTCTGTTAACCGCGTAACACAAATAGAACACGCCATGCCCGGTGCGCCCGACTAAAATTAATTCTCGTACCGACGTTTTCTTTTCCTTTTCGAAAAGTTTTGCCATACAGAACTTGCGTATCTGCTATCACCGATTAAAACATGTTTGTATCACATCATGCGTCTTGGGACACCGTTTCAAGGACATGAACATCCATTTCCAACAATAAGGGTCACTGAAACATCCAATGCACACGCACGGACAGGACTAAACTCCGCAACAAGAAGGCCGTTCGCAGTTCTGCCCTTCTTAATCCGCACCGGTGGAATCCCAGGACGATTGTTGATTGCCGGAGTTCTGTGTTGGGGGCCCTAAAATAATTGTAGGATAATTGAACGACGCAAAAATCTTTGCTATGTCTTCATTGGTGTCGCTCACTATTCTTCATAGGTGCCCTGGGATTTCAAACGATATGAAAAATACATAGCGTCGTCGAAATTTCGTCATCTCGGCTGCTCCCAAATACCTTGTACTGTATCAGTCTCTCCTCGGGTTGTAATTCGTGCTCTCAAAATATGCGTAACTCAATATGACCTTCATGAGTTATTCCCTACACCTGATTGATCCTGATGCTTCCTCTGGCAACTGATGCATAGTTTCGGAAGTTATTATTGAAGACTCCAAAAATGAATCCATCAGAGGAAAATGAAGCCCCGAGTTCTCCCATCGCAACCGACCTGGGAATCCCACCGGAAGCAGCTTTGGCTGCATCATCAAGCCGCAGATCGTCTGATGTAGAATCTCTTGTATCTGAACAAATCGCAGAAAATGGTGCAACTATCTTCCGTTTTCCCTCTGACGAAAAGCCGCGAAAAAGTGACAAGCTGTTCGTCACTTTCTGCGCTTTCGGTGCGATGATGAGCAAAGTGATGAGCTTTCTATCATATCCCTTGACATTTTCTCGATTTTTTAAAATTTATTTTATTAGACCTGATTTTTTTTTTTCAAATTGAACTTTGCTTTTCAGGCGATTTGTTTGCGAATGCTTGGGCCGACGATCATTGATTTGGCAGAACTCATGGGAGTGAGGGAGTCCCAAATAACGCAAGTCTTTTTCGCCAGAGCATTTGGATACTTCATGGGCGCGATAGCTGGCGTGTATCTCGCTGAATTGATTTTTTTGTCTTTGAGAAAATGTATGACCTCGCAATTGATTCCATAATCATCAGCGGGAGTCCTGTTCAGATACCTGAATCGAACATTACTGATAATGACATCATTGTTCCTCCTGGCGGTCACAAACATTGCTGTTCCCACAATGCCGACATATCATTTCCTGTTTGGTGTCTTGCTGCTTCAAGGTGTTGGTCTGGGCATCGTAGATCCAGGTGAGATAGCTAACAGCATTCCACTGCATAAGAAGTTTCGAGTTTTATAAGTCTTAGAGCTTCACATTTTGATCCAAAACGAGAACGGTCACTTGCTGATAGAGTCGCGTCTCCATAACCAGATTACAGTATACAGTATTTTAAAAATTGGTTCATTGCGATGAAGCAGTAAACGCTTTTTAGCACCGATTTTTAGACGTGGATTTAATCGGAACCCCAGCCTCTTAGCTGTAAAAATGATTTGAGAAAACAATTAAAGTATATAGAAATTTTCTGGGAATTTTATATATATTGCAGTATTTTTTGGTCATTGCTGACTTTTCAGCCAAGAATCAAGAGATTTCAAGCAAAACATAATTCAAAATATTATATAATTTCATTTACATTTATATTGTTCATTAGGGCAAGGTAGGTCATCATATATATGACCTTGCCTGATGAAAAACACAAACAAACAAAAATCACATAATGGCTACCTGTAAAATCCAAACCCTCCAGCTATTTTAAATTATGTTTTTCTCGGATTATATATAAATACAAAAGTGTCATAACCATATATTATGGCAGTTTTATATTCCCTCACAAATTCTCTAATTAATTAATTCCCTATCAACTGTTGGCTGACCTTAGAATTAATTTAATCATCTCGATCATTGATGCTGCGTCAGTTGAATTTTTTTGCGCAGTGTCCTGGCTCTCTATATGGACTTTCATAAGCACATGCAGCCCTTGCTGAATTCCTTGAGCAATTTAATTCCAATGGGGCTTTAGAATTCCTCTTGATCAAATACATTTTCCAGGTATCAGCACGTACATCTTGGACACTTGGGGAGAAAAAAGTGCTCCTTACATGCAAATGGTCTACCTTGGGTACGGAGTCGGTTCACTGCTAACTCCACAACTGGCGAAACCCTTTCTTAGTGCTTCTGCAGCTAACGTGTCAGCGGAAATTGATGCTCGGATTCGCTTTGAAAAGGATGAGGACCTTATCAACATTCGTACCAGAGTGTGCGTGATTGTGTGAAATTCCTTTATAGTGAGAGAAATCGAAATTCGACTGAAGGTTGAAAAGATATATGGCAGCGACAGCTTTCAGGGGATCTGCTGTGTGTCGATTGAACCACCAGATCTTTGTCAGAAATTCTGCATATGTGTATATTACTGCACTTCTACAAATGTCTTATTTCTGGGAGCCAATTTTTTTTGTTTAATACTTGAATTTCTGCGTTATATTCCAAGAAAAAATAGGCCAACATTTCGATGACCAGATAATCACAATTTATTTTTCGAATTATAAACTTTTTTCAACATTTGTTTCCACAACCCTGATTTAATTGATCAGAAAAAACAATCGGCCATTTATGCATCGCCCATTATACTTCCGCAGTAAAATGCAAAATATATTTTAAAATTTCCAGCAGGTTTGAATTGCAATATATGAACCAAGTGCCTCGAAAAGGAACGTAAATCATCCCTCGTGATTTTCTGAAATTGACAATGGTTTGCAGCAAGTAGAGTATAATTTTTAAAAGTTTATGCATTGCTTCTTAGAGAAAAGAGCGAAGAACTCATCGTGGAATTCATGCATTTAGATTTGGGTTTTAAAAACTCAGAATTTTTTTCAGATGGATCCTGGTAAAGATATGAAAAATGATGACGGACTTTTGTAACATCTGGTGGTATTGTACACTATTGAAAATATTCTCTTCTGACAGAAATAGAGTACTGTTTCAGACAACCCTCAAACAGTACTTTCTTCATAGAATGGCTTTCTTATAGAAGAATATCAGAAAATACTGCAATTCAACTCAAAACCCTGTTTTGATTCTGATTTCAACAGGACGAGAGAAGCACTTCACAGGCTTCGTTCTTCTTGGCTCGTCATCAGACCAGTTGTGGCTTCTTCGGAGTCTCTGGCAGTGAATTACGAAAAAATTTCACTGAAAGACACAGACTTTCTGAATGAGAATTCGATACATGGTGCATATTTTATTGCTGCTGGGATTTCCGCCTTTTTCGGCTTGATGTACATGGCTTTCATGGCGATTCGACCTCATGTTCGATTCCGGGAAAATGTGCCACTGGAGCTGAAGCGAACAATAATTGCGAGGCAAAGCACCATGCCTCAAACTGGAATTCGAAAGTTCTCAGATAGGAATCAAGAGGTGGGAAACGTGTAGAATTAAGAATGCTTGGAATTTTTTTTCAAATTTTCGACGTAATTCTATGCGGAAAACAATATTTTGATTTGTTTTTGAGATGATCCCAGAATGACGCGCTGTGAAGCCAGGAAAAAAATATTTTTTTTTATCTCGCAAGTTCTTTGGTTTGTTCCGCTTCTTAATTCCTTCGATCCCAGAAAGTTTCTCGACTTTTTTCATTTTTTGGTCCAAATTGAATAATTTTAGTTTTCAAAATTTCGAAATTTGATTCTCCCATAAAAAATGCACCTGCTGAGAATTGCTGACCGCCGCAACTGATAAATCTGCGCATTATAGGTGGCTGAAAGAAAAATATCGAGAAAAGACAACTTACATATTTGACTGCCTTTCAAATTATTGAGGGATGTGTGGTCTGACCCAAATCAAAGTCATCATCTGAATGAATGTATTTTTCATTCCTTTTTGCAGGAAGAACCAAAAAGAAGATTTTCTTCTCGATTCTTGAGTGATCAAATGGCAGATAAAGAGTTGCTAAAAGGTCTTGACGTCCCCAAGCCGGCTTACAACATGAAAAAGGTGATGATAAACTCAAACAAAAAGTAGAAATATTGAATCGCTGACAATTTTAATTTTTATATCCACAAAAATAAAATAAATTGTGTCATAAATTCACTGTATAACTTCATGATCCAAAACAGGATAATTATGTAGTTTTTTTTCTCCAGACTTTATTCTATTATCTGAGCACAGTGTAGAGGGAGACTTGTTTTTGTTTTTTGTGCTTTTCGGGCTTCTTTTCTTACCAAAAGATTAGATTATGGTGGTTTTCTTTTGCAGCAGTCATTTTTTCTGCATCTTGAAGTCGAGGAACATAATTTTATTCAATGTTTGGTGGGATTTTTTTTTAAATTTTGATCATTAGGAGAAAGGATTAAATATATTCCCATGGGGAAAACGTGATATGACAGCGTATATGGACATCATTCCAACATCCAGTTACGTCAGCATCTCGGGGCCGTTTAAATTTAAAAGTTTATAAAGTAATTGTGGAAGTTGAAGCAGCTAAAGTTTATTTTATTTACTTCATTCAATTTTTCCGCGTGCATCATCAGGTAGCGTTTTTATCTGCCGCCGCGCTTGTGTCATTTTGCATCTCGGGTCTCCAAGATCACGTCAGCATCTTTCTAGTGACGTTCGTCGTCAAGCACCCGTTGCTGACGGTGTCGAAGACGGTGGCAGCGGATATCGACACCTACTTTTGGGCCATATTCACTGGTGCTCGAGTCCTCACTGTGCTCACGACAGCCTTCGTGATGAGCGTCGCTTCAGTGCTGGCATTCTGCTGCGCCCTGCTCGTCCCTTCGTCGGCTTTGTTGGTCGCCTTCCCGTTTCTGGGCCTGGATCCCGAACATGCTCGGATGGTTTTCATGGTTCGTGTATTTAGTTGAATGCAGTACAGTATACATATGCTACAGTATACAGTATACGAGGGGTCCACAGACTACAGTAACATGTTTCCAGTTAGAAATTGAAATAGCATGTGACTGAGCTTGAAAACCGATTATTGTTTCGAAAAAAGAAAAAAAAACTTTTCGGCGCACGACAAAAATGTGGTCCTGTTATGAAACATTTTATTTACTTTTGTTGTTGCAAAAGTCACCTTGGCAGCTTCCTGTTTTCATTCAAAAGATGAGGCACCCGTTTCACAGATTTTTTTATACTGTACTTTGGTGCAGTCCAGCTTCCTCAGAATTCTTGGAATCGTCATGGGATTAATTTCAAGGGTTGCCTCCCGATTTTACAAGGTAATTCCGCCATTTTCATCAACAGCCGCCTTCACACCAGCCACTTTTGGGATGAGAATGTGGCGGCTGTTGATGAAAATGGCGGAATTTGCAATCAATTAATGGCGACAACAGTCAATAATTCAAAAGGGAAAGTTGGGGTACGCCTAAAATAGCATATTTTAGGCATACCTAAAATAATTTTTGGAGGTTCCCTTATTGTAGTTCAACTCGAAAGGTTCAATTGTGATTTAACCCTTGGGTGGCACTGCCAGAATTTAATTGCACAATTTTGTGCCACAGGTTAAAGAAAAAAATGAAATACCTAGTATGATCAGAAGAGCCAAAGTCCATGAAACCCCGATTTTTTTTTTGTTATTCCGGAAAAAAAAGCATGTAAAAATATTTATTTACTGTCGGAGGAAATTTTGTCTGCATTCATGCCATATGATTAACATTGAAGGATTTTGAAAACAGTGGTTTTCACTTTCCTGAATTTTTAAGGATTTTGGCTTCTCAACAAAAGCTGCATTTTGGTGACCTTTGTTCAAACAAAAAAATGCACAATTGTGCAAAATTTTTCCAGCACTGCCACGCAATGAAAATTGACCTGATGTCATCCAAGGGTTAATTATTCTTTTGATCTACTCAGTAATACCATATTTACTCAAGTACCACAGGCCCTTGAAAAAGATATGCACTGTGATTTTTCAGGTGGGAAATTTGATAAATGCTAAAGTAGGATTCGTAACCAATTTTTATTGACTCTGAAACTGCAGTATTTTAAACATAAGAACACTTATATTTGAATTTAGACATGAATTAAACATCAATTTGACTAATTTTTTTTTATAATTTTTTCCATTAAAATGAGTTTTTCTGTCAATCCAAAAATTCCCATCTGAATCAAATATAATCCACACCCTACATTATTTTCTAGAACTGCAAATTACATTTATGCCTGCATACCTTGTACATGATGAGTACCCTCCTTTTCCCTGTCAGAATTTGAGAAAAAGGTGAATGGTACTTGAGTAAATGCGGGTATACCATGAACCTAATCCTCCTGAAAACAAAAATGAAGGTCGCCATTTTCCTGTGGGGAGGCGCAGAGGCGCCGGTCTTCCCCAGCTACTTGCTCTTCCTCAAGCGCTACATTCCGATTTCGCACGTCGAGGCCGCCGTTTTGTTTTCCGCCACTGCCTGGGGCGACGTGGTTCCCTTCTTTGTTGGCTTCTTGTTGGACGAAGACAATCTCATGATCATCATNACTGCCACGCAATGAAAATTGACCTGATGTCATCCAAGGGTTAATTATTCTTTTGATCTACTCAGTAATACCATATTTACTCAAGTACCACAGGCCCTTGAAAAAGATATGCACTGTGATTTTTCAGTTGGGAAATTTGATAAATGCTAAAGTAGGATTTGTAACCAATTTTTAGTGACTCTGAAACTGCAGTATTTTAAACATAAGAACACTTATATTTGAATTTAGACATGAATTAAACATAAATTTGACTAATTTTTTATAATATTTTCCATTAAAATAAGTTGTTCTGTCAATCCAAAAATTCCCATCTGAATCAAATATAATCCACACCCTACATTATTTTCTAGAACTGCAAATCACATTTATGCCTGCATACCATGTACATGATGAGCACCCTCCTTTTCCCTGTCAAAATTTGAGAAAAAGGTGAATGGTACTTGAGTAAATGCGGGTATACCATGAACCTAATCCTCCTGAAAACAAAAATGAAGGTCGCCATTTTCCTGTGGGGAGGAGCAGAGGCGCCGGTCTTCCCCAGCTACTTGCTCTTCCTCAAGCGCTACATTCCGATTTCGCACGTCGAGGCCGCCGTTTTGTTTTCCGCCACTGCCTGGGGCGACGTGGTTCCCTTCTTTGTTGGCTTCTTGTTGGACGAAGACAATCTCATGATCATCATGACTGTCACTGTTGCACTCACATTCATTACTGTGGCACTCATTACTTTCACTTACGTCTGGGGACGATTCGTTCTCGGGGAGGATCATGAAGATGAGGCGCCAGTCACTAGTGTGACTCGGGGAAGTCCTCCTGACGTCGGGGGACGTCACAAGACTTCGTCCAGCAGACTCAGAGACTCGACAGTTCAAACTTGAGTGACGATCGTCACCAAAAGCACTCTTTCCTGACGATAATAATAATGACGAATGTTGAAAGAAAAAAACTCTGTTCACTGCCTGCGTCGAAGTGTAATTTCCACCACACGGCCGAAAAATTGAGGGACAACCCGAAATTAACAGCCTTCTAAAAAAAATCACACTCAAATAAGAGATAAACTGCCTGTGAAGAAAATGTTACGAGTAAAACAAATAAGGTGAGAGGTTAGACTATAAACTTGTGAAAGTTCAGTTAAACAAATGAAATTAAATGCGGAATTCAAAGCAGGGGGATTCAAAGACAACAAAGAGAAAATATTTTATTGATTTTAATTTAGATTTGATGACGAAATCTGACTGTACTCAAAAAATTGATGCGTTCTGTACATGGAAAATAAAAAAGGAAAATTTTCTCTATTTTCAGAGCGAATTCCAGTAAAACAGAGCCACTGATTTAATTTAACAAATATTCGAAAGACATCTCGCGTTCGGTCGAGGGCGTCACAAAACGTTTTCTTTGTTATTTCTGTAGTTTTGCGTATTATTAAAGACAATATAATTTGTAAAAAGTATTTTCAAGGTTTCGTGTATCGTACAGTAGCATTCGAAGCTTCAGAAGGCCAAATGATGTTATTTCTTTAACAATAAGGAGCGAACACTCGTGTTTGTTCCGATGATGTCATAGTTCAGTCGTCAGAAATGTCATGAATATCGCGTTCACATAAATTTGTGAAACACCCATGCTTTGGTTCGCTTCATCTCTTTTTACGCATTAAAAAATCCTTTGTAATCATCAGTAGGTGATTTCGTTGTAGGCGGTTCACTGTGCTTTTCAATCGCACGAACACGTTTTCAGCGTTTTTTTTTTTTTTTGACATGTGCTATTTTGTTGCGCGCTGTTTTGGAACGCTCCGTTTTTGAGACGCGCTCAAACTTCACGTCGGGCACTTAAATACCTCCGCTTTTTCTTCCCGGACTTGAGTTCCATTACTTGATTAAACTCTGCACGCTTTCGCTGCCCGAAAACGGCGTGACTAATGCTTAAAATTAACGACCCGTTAAAAACGGCCGTCGAGGAAGTGCCAAGAAATCAATTAAGAGCGCGTTCTAACTGCAGTAGTTACGATCTTCCTCGGCGATAAAGAAGAAAATGCCTGGTTCTAAATCAAAGAATGATAACCGGAGTCAGAATCACTATCTGTTCCTGCATGATGCTGGTCAACGGATTGATCCGTGGGTATCTCTGCTCACGAATCCTGTCGAGTATTGGGCAATCGACAAGTTTTATT